GCATGGGGAAAGCTTCTGGCAGCTTCTCACAGAATCCACCTCTGTAGCCCCCTGCTCTCTGCTACCTCAGGGACTGCCTCCAGGCATGGGGAAAGCTTCTGGCAGCTTCTCACAGAATCCACCTCTGTAGCTCCCTTCTGCTACCTCAGGGACTGTCGGAAGAAGATGTTATTCCATTGCACACACAGGAAAGCACTTGGGAAGTGGAGAGTTGGCCCGTGAGCAGCAGCAACACCCCAGGTCCTGCACACCTGGGTTAGGGGCAACCAGGCAGGGTCTGGGCAGAGAAGAACAAGCTCTGCAGCAACAAAGTCTTTAGAAGAGGAGCAGAGGCTGTCCCATTGGAGAGACCAAGTAGTAGTGTGCTGGGTAACTGGCAAATGCAGGCTTGCAGCCTCCCCCTCTCGTCAATGTGCTTACCCCTGTGGATAACCCCGTTTTATCATCTTCATATGTTTGTGTCATTTCTGTCTCACAGATAGACAGGGTGTTAGCAAGGCAAATGCTTCCCTGAAAAGTAGCATCTTCTGTATGCCCACATCAGTACTGTCTTTTTTTAGACTAGAGCTGAGAATTTTATTTTGTTTGAAATAATAACATTTCATTTTTTAATCTTTTTCCTGCTTTGCATTGAATATAGTGTTTGTGGGGGTGAGACCAAAGGAGAATTTTCTTTTGTTCTAGTGACTGGCATTTTCTATAACTGTTTTCTGCTCATGGCTGTCTTGTTGCTAATAATCAGACTTGGCCCTCCTGTATTTGCTATAAACTGGACCGTGAAATCCTCCAGTTGCTAAAGCCCTTCAATTTTTGCAGACTGCGCTAGTTGCCACCCAATGATAGACCTTAAATTGTAGCTTCTCACTGAATGTATACCCTTAAGAAAAAAAAAAATGTATTTAACTTGTACCTTTTATATGCTTGTAGCCATTCATAAGGAATTATGAGAGCCAGTATAAATCTATTATGACACATTAATTCCCTCTCCAATAGAGCCCCACATATTTACATTAAATATGCAGCCAACAAGAAAAACTGTTTGGAAAATAAATTGCCCAGGATCAGACTACTACAGCACTCTGCCCTTCCTTTCCTCTGCATCAGGTTTCCCCCAGTCCTGGTTGAAAGAGCAGGGCCCAGGCTGGCTGGTGTCTGAACTGTCCCAGCAATGCACTGAGCCCTGGGGGCTGCTGCCACCAGCCCTGAGGCATCTCTGGAGCACAGCAGGCACAAAGTGGTCTTGGTGGCCATCTCCTTGTCCACACCTCCCAGCCCTGGGGAAAAGCACCACAAGCCTGGGGTCATGTCTCTGTGCAAGGCAGCACCTCCTGAATCCCAGCTGCTGCAAAAAGCATGTGCCCCACAGTCAGGCATGTTGTCCTCAACTGAAGGACATTGAAAATTGAAAATGCATTGAAAATGCATTTATTTACATGTCAAGATTAAACATGTAATAAAGTCAGACCAGTCATATTTCTTATTTTCTGCAATTTTCTTGTAGTAAAGATAATGGTAAAATATCAGCAAAATATGAAATCCAGTGCTCTTAAAAATCTTATGGATATTGACTGGTGTTCATTTTAATTCTTAATGCTAGGTATGTAAGGATATGGTCATTCCCCACCTAGAGTTACAGTAGAGTTCTCACTAGAAAATAAACTCAAAATCTTGTAGCAATAAAAGCCAGGTGCTTATTGGGAATATTATTACTTTCACATTTCATATAGCTGCTTCATCATGTTCCTTATATTGGTCAGTGATCCCCTAAAGACATCTCTCATGCCAAGGCACCTCAAATGTATTTGAGGTCAGTCTGACTTTGTTGAACTGACTGCCAGCAGTTTTTCTTGCCAAGATCAAGGTAATCAGCATCTGGAGCTACCTCTCTCGTGATTGATAGAAGGTACTGTATAGCCTATTGTTAAGGTGGGAAATAGACAAACATCTTGATGGATCCCTGAGTTAAAGAATCAGCTCATTTGGATATCTTTATCCGAATGTGGCACTGTGGTGCCCTGTACACATCCACTAAGCCATGATTTTGTACCACAGGATGGGCAGGGTAAGAACACACACTTATGATCCCTCCCATGCACACAGGCCTGCTGGTTTCAGCAGCACTTTCCACACATCCAAGAGGTGGTGGGTGGCTCCTACTTTTAAACGAGAAAGAGCTCCCAGATCCTAGTACCCAGAGATGGTACCACAGTTCAGATTCGTGGAGAGGGCTGTCTAGCAAAATTTGGGCCTTCATATAGCCTGTAAATGATACTGAATATGTGGAAGAAAAAGTTTAAATAAATGTACAAACAAGTGACCTGGGGACGCTAAATGATGATAAATTGAAAGTTAAATGCTAGTGGCAATATTGGAGAATGTTACTAACTAGCTCAAATGGCAAAAGTTTTTTTATGTATGATATGATGCCAAAGTGAGTGGGTGACAACGGAGGTCCAAATACCAGCAGGAATTATTAATGTTAATATTGCCTTGAAAAGTACTCACCAAACATTTAAAATCATGTTTTCACATTCCCCACTTAACTGAAATCCCTGACAGCTGATTTCCATTCCAAATAAGTTGGCAGACAAAATGATGGGTTTCCCCCGTACTGGCTGTTAATTTCTGTTATTTGGAGATATTTTCCTTTATTGTCTGATGGCCTCCATGGCTATGGAACCTGTAGCCCTCTAATGCAGTTAATCTGTCTCACCCTGTGTGTGCCTGGTTTTCAGCTGGGAGAGACAATGGCATGTTCCCACCCAAAGCTAAATGCCTTGCTGCTGGCAGTGGGTAATTGCTCAGACAGTGCTGGAGTTCCTGTTGTCTCCAGGTGCACCAGGACTCACGATGCCTAAGCTGCCTCTGGGTGGTTGGTCACTCAGGATGTGTGGGGCAGAGTCAGAAGTAGCATCTACACCTTATAGAATCCATTGGTCTCCAAAGGACTTACACCACTTTACATACCCCCAAAACATCTCTCTTCCCCTACAACATCACAGAATGGTTTAGGTTGGAGGTGACCCTGGAGGTCACATGCTCCAGTTCCTGGCTTAGAGCAGGATTAACTTCAAACATTGACCTGGTTGCTTGACTGCCGAGTTGCATTTTGAACATCTTCAAGATCAGAAATTCCAGAAGCTTGCTGGGTTGCTTGTTTCAGAATTTGTTTAATTTCTCTGTTGAGATACTTTTCCACGTGTCAAATTTCTCTTTCTGCAAGTTGCATCAATTTTTCAGCTCATCACTGAAAAGAGTCAAGCTCCATGTTCTCCATATTCTCCCGTGAGTTGGTTGAAGAAGACAGTAAGATCTTCCCGTAGCCTGGTCATCTTCAAACTCAACAAATCCAATTCTTCACTCTCTTTAAATATTTATACTCCTGATTTGTGCTCCTTCCCTTTAATCTTCTTGGTAGCCCTCCTGGGCAATCTCCCATATGTCATTACATACCATGTCATTTTACCATACTGGGGAACCCAAATCTAGGCACAGCACACCAGACCTGGCCTTACAAGTTCCAGAAAGAGGGGAATGAACACTTCCCTCAACCACTGGGTGTGCTGTTCACAGGCAGCCCAGCACATGGCTGCTCTTCCCAGCCCCAAGAGCCCACTGCAGACTTGAGTTCAGCTGCCTCTCCACCAGTGCCCACAGCTGGCCCTGGCCTGTGCAGTTGCAGGGAGTTATTTCATCCCACATGTATGGCAATACAGTGATTTGTGGGCTGGCTGAGGTACCAGAGAGGGAATGATCTGCCTTTTGGGTAAAATCTGGTGTGGTTAAATTTGTTTGTGTAAATGGCATTACTGTTTGTGTAAATGACAAGGTGTTTGGAGTGCCTCTCCCACCAAACATGATGAGACATGTAGTACATTACAAAGTTTCTATTTAGTGATTTAGGATGAAATGAAAGACTGCTTTACCAAGACAGACAATAATTAACTACAGCTTGGAGAGGGTTTAGGTTCATCTGTTAAATCAGGTTCACAGTCTTTTACCAGTGAAATGAACATATTGGAAGGGGGAGGGGGGAAGGAAAACAGAAAGGAGGGATCACATAGACTACAAAGTTTCCTTTCTGCTTTTCATGAGAACATGAAGACACAAGGTACTTTACCTCTGTTATTCTCCATCACAGAGTAGAATATGGCACAAGGTAGCACTTAGGCAGCATCACCATCACAGCAATGGGGCAGCATCTCTGACATGATGGGCCCTCTGTGCCACACTGGCAAGGCTCTGTGCCAAGGTCAGTGGGTGGCAGGGGACAAGTCTGTGGCTCTCCACTGCTCCAAGGCAGTGATATGCAGTCAGGTAGGAGACATGTTACTGAAAAATTAAAATAGGAGTTAACTCTATGATCTGAAGAGTGCTGGGATCAGTCCTGGTCCAGAACTGAATGAGATGGGCTCATGTGTGCAGATTGATGATGTATCACAAAGATCATGAATTGCATGTTAAGGAGTTGTTCAAATCTCTCCAGCTTGGTAGGCAAATTTTTTACAATGAGTTGAAAACAGACCAAATATTAGACCAGCCTATAATTTCTCTGACAGTTTCTGTGGGTTTGTCTCTTATTTCTGGGTTGGGATTTTTTTGGTTTTCATTTGGTAGTCTGTGTTTATGTTTCTGTAATTGAAATGAATGGCAGATGACTAGCTAAATTCCTTTAAGAGAGTGTTCCCAGAGACATGGTATCAATAAACAGAAGTATGCAGGATTATAATTATCTGTGATCTGTCTAATAGAGAATAATTTAATATGGGTAGGCACAGAGGGTCAGCTCTTTAGTTCAAATTAGCATGTCTCCATTGAATTAAATAGATCTCTGACAGACATCATCAGCTGAAGAACAAACTCAGAATTTTCAAGCTAATTGTGATTTCAAATAGACAGTTCACCTTAAAAAGTGTGTTCAGCAGTGGTACACTCAGACTGCATCACAGAAGAAGAAATGTCACTCTCTGTAGAGTGATTTGCTACTTCTTTCTCTACAGCAGTCTGGAAGCATGTGTGAACTCATTACGTTGTTGAAAGAGGAATTCAACAGTGCCAGAAAATGAATGCTGGTCTTTATCATCGGCAAGACACTAAGTGAGGTAAAATTTAGTAGAAGGAATTAGTAAAATGGGACAAAATGTCTTCTCTCCCATGAATGCAAAATTATTTTTTTCTGATTCCCAGAATACAACCTGTGTTGATTGGATGACATGACATTAAAACTGCTGACACACTCAGAGATGGGCTGCTTGTTTACAGAGAATTGAAATTCAGATCCATATTGTCTGAGGAAGGCTGGCTGCAGACAATTTCAAATTGTTTTCCTTTCTCTCACCATTTACCCAACAATGTTTTCCCCCAAGAAGTACTGGCTTCTGCTAATCACACAAAATGTATCTGTGCAGCAAATTCAGAAGCATGTGGTGGCTCAGGGGCTTTGTCTTCTCTATGATCCATTAAAAACTTTCTGGTTTTACATTTTTTATTTTCAGAAGAGAGATCTGTAATAGACTGATGATCCAGAGAGGCCTGTGGGCTATGAGCTAGGCTGGGCTGTGCTGAAGCTTCACCACTCCACCTCCTGGCTATTGGGAGCTGAACAGAAAATCCATCTCTGATGTTGCTGTGGTCAGGGGAGAATCAAAGATCGGTGGTTGAAGGCATTGCAGAGAGTTTGGAGAGAAACTCCTGAGCTGTGGCACTCATTGCTGTACTGACTTGTTCTCATGCTATACTTAGTAATTGTACATCACAGTCCTCTGTTTCTCAAAGGAGAACAGGCTTGAAAAAATAGCAGTAATTTTGAAATAGGTTGAAAATAAATGAGCAGGCTTAGAAACTTGCCAATTGTCCTTTCCCTGCAAATTATGGAAATGGAAGATAGTTCTGAGTCAGTATGAATAGAAGATTCATATGATTTAAGACTTGTTTGCTTTGGAAGTTCCCATACTACTTGACCCTATGTGAAATGTGATAGTTATTCCACCATACCAGCAAGCACAACTGATTTGTGCAAGCACAGACAAAGAGAAACATCTAAAGCATTGCCGCAACATGAAAAGCATGTTGTGAAATTCTTTATTATTATAATACATATGGATCAGTGTAGACCATTTATACTCTGGACTTTGTGTACAGGGCAGGAAGATGGGATGATACCCTCTGATGACTGGCCTGTTTGCATATAGCTGCAGAACACAATTTGGACAAAGAATGGTGCTGCACCACTTAGGATATGATCTTTTGGAATAAAAGCTTTTTCTTGGAGTGAGACAGAAAAAACTGCTGAGGTGTTTTATGGCCAATGTGCATTTTGTTTTGATGTCTGAAGCTGATGGTTTCCTCCTAGCCTGCTAGAAGGCTAAAGCTTACAACGTTTTCTGTTTGCAAGAAAAGTTTATATCAAAGAAGATCTAAATGTGTTAAGACATGACAATTTTGGGGCATGTGAGGGCTATAAAATACGGAGCAGCTCAGAAGGGTTAATGGGGTATGAATGGAGGCTCTGATACATTCAGTTAAATGATCTAAGAGATATCTAATTTTAACAGCAGGCAGAAAGTTCAAAACAAACAACGGTGATGGTTTTTGCATTCTGTGAAGGTAGTCTGTGTGGCCCCTTAGTATTCCCAGCCTGGATGCTGGGAATACTAAGAATTTGAATGGCTTTAAAAACATGAGTAGATAAAATTAATTGAAAAGAACCCATCAGTATCCATTCAATGAAAAGGCAACAGCTCTTGCTCAGAAAGTCTCTAACCTACAATGTTTTTTTGGAGTGAGGGACTGAACTTGGGGGAAATAGAAGTGCTCCCCTTGCATTACTATTCCTCCACTGTTGACCATAGACAGGAACAGAGTGCAGTGATCAACAGGCCCATGGTCTGCCTTGGTACCACCAGCCTCGTGTTCTTATGTTGTGCTACATTATTGGGCTGGATCTGAAAACTACTTTAAAAGCCCATTATAACTGAGAATGACAAAAAGGCTGGAGGACCTCTTCTGAGACCCATCTCTTGATGTTAATTGGGTAACAAATATCACTGAAGTGGTATTTTATGCCATGAGAAGTTATGGATCTGTACTACAATGAATTAAGTCTATTTATCTTCATTGAAACCCTAATATATTTTCAAATAGTTGATTATCAGCTAATTTTAGGGACCTCATAGTTCCCTAGGACTATTTCAAATACAGATCCCATGACATCATTTACATGAGCTTTGAACTGGAGAATCCATTTGTGTGATCCTTCACCTCTACACTCCAAACCGACAAGACAGAGGCGTGTTACAAATGTCAGATCAAGCTAAATCAATTTGCATTTTCTAAGGTTTGCATATATGCCATCTTGTCAAATGAAAGCCATAACAAGCTTGATAAAACAAAGGACAGAGTGAGCTCCTTATGCTGTTTGTAGTGGGAGCAGCTAAAGCCTCATGCCTCCTATAAAGGCAGTATGTTTAAAGAAACTGGGAAAGATGCCCATGTTCTAGCAATTTTTTACTTGCCAGTGTTAAACAGAAAACAAGTTATTGCCACAGTAAGAAGTCAGACTTTAAAAATGGCAGAAACATGCATCTTGGACCTGTTATGTATATATATATTCATCAGCCTCTACAGGAGAAGAAAGCATATTATAATGTGATTACCCACAGCGAGGAGCTGCTGGAGTGTTAATAGCAATCTGTCCTTTTGAGCTTGCAGAGCTCTCCATGGCAGCCTGGAGACTCTTCTCACTTTAAATTCAAGCTTATTGTCTCAAACAGAAGTTATATTGCAAAATACTAAAAGATATTTTAATAAAATGGTCCAGACTAAATTGCTGACTACAGGACAATTCTGCAGCTTCACAACAGGAATTGTAGGGTTCCTGCTGCCTTCTTAACTGCATGATAAATTGCAAGCCTCTTGCTTCTGTGCCACAGGCTCAGGGAGCATTGCATGATCACCATTGCTTTTCTTGTTTACTTTTCATGCCTACTGGTGTCCATATAAAAGTATCTCTGCTTATGCTCAGGCTCCCTCAACTTTTCTCATTGGTTATATAGTGGCACAATCAGGTTGGCAGTTAATGTAAACATGCATCATGGATGTAATGTAAATTACATTTTAATTCTCTGTGTCCATTACATCTGTCACCTCAGTCTGTGAACTTGCTGTGAGGCTATTAACCCATTGCCAGGGCTCTGGAGATCATTTTACTCGGATGTGCACAAGACCTGGTTCTGCAATTTCATACAGGCAGCAATACCAAAACTGTTTTCACACAGAGTTTGCAGACTGTTTTGCTGTGCAGTGCAAGGTGTACTGTTCTACTGTTGTGCTTTATGGCTGGAAGCTCCCCCAGGCAGGAGTAATACATGGAAGTTTGTTTTCACCCAAATCTCTGTGACTAGTGTTTTTCCTCATAGAGGTCCTCAGGAGCATCAGGGAGGTTGGCATTCGCCACTGTTTAGGTAGAAGTAATTGGTGAAATTTTGTTTGTTTGAATATCTCACTGAGGACCTAAGCCAAAGTCAACTTGACAGAAAGCCTGGTACTGGCTACAGGAAGACTTTGCTCCAGCTCAGGAGTGAAGACTTTGCTCCAAACACTGTGAAACCTGAATAGGTCAGATGGGAAAGTGCCATAGTAAGAAGAGCAAGAGAGCAAATGTGAATATGTTACCAAAAAAGTAGGGGCCTTCATGAGATGCTTTCTGTGCTAATGAGAAACTGAGTTAGCTAGTCTTCTCCTAAACCTTGGTCTCACTGGTTTGTAGGTGTAATCTGATGGCTTCTGCTCCTCAGTAAAGAGAATGAACATATTTGTGCCTGAAAGAGACCCCCATCTATGATTTCTTTCTGAGATCCACTGAATAGACAGTTTAAAATATTTTTTGGTTTGTGCTTCAGTGGTTCAATTAAATGTTTTTAATCCTGATGTCATATTGTATCAAGGGATAGAACCTTTGGAAATCTAAGTGTATTATGTCAGCTGTCACTTTTTATTAACTAAACTTGTCAAAAATGCTAGCAATATTTCAGTGTTAAGTGCTAACATTTAAATTTACATTTAAATGAGATGCTATTGTTTTCATTAAAGTGTGTTGACATTGTGCCTTATATTTGCATCTTACATTGTACTTAAACCAGGCTTTGATAATAATATTTATGTCATGCTCAGTCTTTCCCATGATTTTACTTGTGATGAGTGCTAAGCTAAGAAGCCTGCAGTAAGCCCTGCAGTTTGCCCACCATTAATACTTTACTGTTCTTATGTCTGCATCAGCCACCGTGCAGCAAACACAAACAACTATTTAAAAAAAAATAGCTTTTGATGTAGGTTATATATATTCTGTACGCAAAAATGTCAGGTCTACCAAAAGCACCTACAAGTGCTTTTACAGATATAGCAGTGATAATCACAGCACAACCTCTAAATTTTGATGCAGCCTCTGGCTCTAACTCCTGCAGTTAACACAGGTATTGTCGGGTGAATTTACCGTATGTGTACTTTGGTTAATACTTTACACAGTGCTTTGAAGACACAAACTATTGAAGTCCTAAATGGTACTCAAACCTACATAAACTTACTGCTTTAGGACAAGGATTAGAAATATATCACTTGAGATGATATAAAACAAGAGCAAGTGTGTAGTTCAAAGCTGATGTTCTAGTGTGACGGATGGGATTCTTCTCTATTGAAAAACCCAGAAACACCTTACAATTAGCTGACCATAATGAAACACTGTAATGTCTAAGTTGAGACATGGTTACAAGGAAAGGACATACAATGACACTGAACAATTGAATCAAATATGCTATAAAATAACAGTCCTAAAATAGTAAATGTTGCAATGAATTATTAAAGTTGCTTATTTTAACATTTTATTTACTGAATTTTGCATTATTAAAATTACAAATCATGAACTCACATTGTGCTGTCATTGAATCTGGCCTCCCTGAGATTTGCTTTGCTCCTGTTCAGTCTATCCAGTTTGTTAATATGAACTTGGTTCCTGAGTCATTACACCCTTGTGATTCATGCCACTGACTCCTTGTTGCCCATTCCCTCTCATTTGAATTTGCTTGACTGTGCCAGGTAAGTTTTGTGA